ATGAACGGTAAGGTGATAATCATTAAAGTCACATTGCCATTCACACCTTATGTTTGTAATGTCAAATTAATTTGGGATTAAAGAACTTTATTGATTGAACTTGTCTGAGGACAAAAGTCTTCTCACGATTGCCAAACGAATAATAAAAGATGAACTCTCCAAAACTCTCCCAATTGGTTTTTAAGTATTCTATGTTACTTCAGATTTAAAAATAGACTGCCTATCCTACTTCAGAAGTTTTTGAATGGTTCTTAAGTGCGTAAGGTGCCAAAAGCATAAAGTAGAACAATCTACTTGATCAAAAGTAACTACACTTGATGTAGCAGTAGGACAAAGTTGCATTCACAGTGTGACATTGCACCTTGAGAATATACCATCGCCGTGTTGTGTAATCGTATACGTCGGTCGTTGAATAAACCTTTGTTCACGTAGATTTTTATAGGTAAGTTTTTTACACTTCAGTGTTGTTATTTTTCTGGTCCTTCGGGACAAGTTAGTGTTGAAATTGTATATAACTAATGTCGGTGCTATATGGCGTGAGAGATTTATTGTGCGCTTTTACAAAATTCCTTAGGAACAGACTCAGTCAAACCGTGTCTGTAATTCCCATATAACATATACTAAAGCTGTTTTTCTGCTACGATGGATCACTATTTTTCAAAGGTCAAGTTTCTTGTTGGTTATTCCTCATGAATTTTAAGAGAATACATCTTTTTTCTCTTTTCCGTTATATACAAGCATATAGGAGTGTAAATATAACAAAGTCTTATGTAAAGTAAGTAGTCGATTTTGTGGGTCTTTTTAGTTTTCAAAAATAGGCAATTATTTGTCTTTTTCCTTGTTAAGTCTTCAAGTTGTGATACGTTTATATTTTCTATTACTTCAACACGAGAAATGGTATTTGTGTTATCAATGTAAACTCTACTTGAAATGTAACAGTAATTAATGTTAATCTAAAAAATTACAACAAAAGATATACAGGAAACAATTAAACATATGGACAGTAAAATGATCGTAACAACCGTTGATTAAAACGAAGTATCATGGTTATATTACCTTAGAAGAAACATTACTATACTAGAAATAAATAATTCAAAATTCACAGAGAAAGAAATTAAAACTAAGGCACCATATTAGTGAAACAAATTATTCTAATAGTTAAAAACAATCAATATAATTTGTCTACATACATCAGAATAAAATCGGTTACACAATATATATTTCCAACAAAAGTCATTTTCAAAAATATTGTTTCAGACAAGAAACAGTAATCAGACTACTAATGTTTTTTGCCATGGGTAGACGTGAACACATAATTGTTTAATTGCCAGAGATATTCAAGTGTTAAATGATAATTAGTTTTGGGAGCAAAACGAACTGTATTGGCATTATAAAGTGTTTAAATTTGTATATCCAGACGAAGGGCACTGAATATTTAAGGTCCTGTGATAATTTATTCTCACCACCGGTCTTTAAGATATTTTGTGCTTGAATAACGCAAGCTTGTCGTATAAAAAGATGCCACTTACAAAATATTGAGTCTATATATGATTCAAATCGGCAGCAGAAAGACATTTAAGATTTCAATGTTTCGTGAAACGATATCATATTGTATATAGACTTTTAATAAACATCCAAGGAAAACTAAATTTAAACATATATTTATGTAAAATACATACTTATGAGTGCAAATGAACGGTAAGGCGATTATAAATTAAGTCACATTTACATCATTGTACATATACAGGTCAAATTAAAATGGGATTAAAGAACTTTATTGACTGGCCTTGTCTGAGGACAAAAGTCTTCTCACGATTGCCAATTACATTATAAAAGATGAACTCTCTAAAACTCCGAAATGGATTTTAAGTATTCTATTTTACTTCAGATATAAAAATAGACTGCGTATCCTACTTAAGAAGTTTTGAATGGTTCTTAAGTGCGTAGGGTGTCAAAAGCATAAAGTAGAACAATCAAATCGATCAACAGTAACTACACTTGATGTAGCAGTAGGACAAAGTTGCATTTACAGTGAGACATTGCACCTGGAGGTTATATCATCGCCGTGTTGTGTCCTCGTATAACGACGGACTTTTTCAATTTAAAAATTAACCTTTCTGCACGAACATGTTTTAAACGAAAATTTTCTACACTTCATTGTTGTGATTTTTTCAGGTTCGTCAGAACACTTTAGTTTTGAAAATTGAATACTAGTTATAGGGGACGTGAGAGATGGTGCATTTTTACATTATCTCTTAGGAAATGACTCAATCAAATTGTGCAAATAATATTGCTGTTTTACTGTTCCTGACGTATGATCTTTTTTCAAATTTGTTGGTAATTCCTCATGAAGTTAAAAAAAACTAACCTTGTTACCTTGTTTACTTTTCGGTATATTCATGTATATGAGAAGCAAATATGACTAAGTCTTATGGAAAGTACGTTGCTGATGTTGTGGTTTTTTAGTTTAATATTGCTATAAAGAAAAGGCAATTATTATCTATGTCTTAATCTGTTAAGTCTTTAAGTTGTGGTTATTAAGTTATTTCCGTTTACTTCAAAATGAAAAAAAGTAATATTGTGTTACGAACTCTGCTTGAAATTTATCTTTGTAAACAGTAATTAACGTTAATTTAAAGAATGATATCATTGAACGGATATAAAAGAAACAATTAAACATATACACAGTTTATGGAAGGAAACAGTCGTTAATTTTAACGGAACGAAGTATCACGGTATTATTTACTCAGAGGAAGTAAAATAAACTAGAAATAGATAATTCATAAATCACAGAGAAGTAAATTGAAATTAAGGCACCATATTAGTGAAACAAATTATGCTTGTAGTTAAACACATTCAATATAATTTGTCTACATACATCGGAATATAATCGAATACACAATATATATTTTCGACAAAAGTCATTTCCAAAAATAACGTTTCAGACAAGAAACAGTAACTATTACAATTAAACAGACTACTAATGTTTTTCTGCAATGGGTAGACGTGAACACATAATTGCCTAATCGCCAGAGATGTTCAAGTGTTAATTGATAATTAGTTTTGGGAGCAAAACGAACTGTATTGGCATTATAAAGTGTTTAAATTTGTATATCCAGACAAAGGGCACTGAATATTAAAGGTCATGTGGTAGTTTATTCTCACCACCGTTAGTTAATATATTTTGTGCTCAAAAAACGCAAGCTTGTCGTATCAAAAGATGCAACTTACAAAATATTGAGTCTATATATGATGTAAACATATATTCATGCATTAATTGCACTTATGTTTCATCCTTCTTTTTTAAAAATCTTCAAGAAAAACAATATGTAAGTCTGTTGAGATTGTTTTATGATTTTCGTCGTTATAAAATAAACTGTTCTCGTAAGGTGTCTGAAGCTTTAAGGTATCTGCTTCAGTGAAAATATAATCAAAGGTAATTAAATCAACCATTGCTTAATTTGAAGATATATACCTTTTTAGTGTTAAAAAAGAGATGAAGTTTATAAAAAAACACTTTGTCTGACAGTATAATAATGTTTTTAAATCATTTTATCTGCTACCAGCAAATTTATTACTTAATTGCAATTTCATCTAAAGTAATAATGTTATTGCCTTATACCATTTAGAAGAAAAGAAAAAAACACCGAATTCAAAGTTTACTGACAATAATAGTTATGGTACGACTTCTGTGTATGGAATGGAATATTTTACACTGCTGCCGCTTTCAATCAGTAGAACAATTCGGTTGGTTGGTTTAAACATTTATTTTAGCTCGATTGCGAAACAAGTTCTTGCAACTTATATAAATCACTTTCGAGTCCGCTTCCTGGAACCAACCGGTACTGGTGTCATATGAAGAAACATGGTCGTGACCCGAATAGGGATCGAACCCATCATCTCTGGGTTGAGAGGCAGACACCTTTACCACTAGGCCACCGCTCCCCCAGAAGAACAATTTAAAGCAACCATTGTCCAAAGATTTGCCACATATACACCAAATCCTTTTAATATATTTCAGTCTACTCTTTTAGAATAAGTTCCACCAAAGATGTTGCTTGGATACAGTATTTTTGAAATTCATAACAAAGTTATACAGTATTTTCATGATACACAGCTTTTCGTGAAGAGTTTTATGTTTCACTATTTTCACGTTATTACACTTTAGCGATTCAATATGCTAAAGAACAATATTTTTACAACTCAGTATCTTTAGGATTCAGAATATTCATTTTAATATGTCGACAATTTCAAAGTTTGGCAGATATATGCATTTTTCCTTGTAGGTAAAGACACTTTCGTTAGAGCAAAAACTTTAAAAAAAAAGCCGCTTGGTATTAATATAATATATCATTCGTTGAGTTAAAACGACTTGATATAATATCGCATTAGAAACAATGGTATCAACGGGTAATAGCGCATTCATCTAATCACACAACTCGCCGGAATAATCAAAGTTACATGCTTTTAATGTAGACAAAAGCATACGAATGAAACATTTAATCATTCATTTCAAAGGCTTTCTCATAAATGCGTCAATGGCTCGAAAACATTACTGTTATGGACTTAAAAAGTTTCTTTCATGTGAGTATGGTTGTGAAATTATACACATATACCGGTGGCTCCTGTTTAGCCTACCAGAATAAATGAAGGGGCAGGTCTGATCTGTTTACTTTTTTACTTTTTTTAATTGTATTGATTTTACCTTTCACATTGTTTCTTATTCAATATGACGTGTATTTTTTGTTTCATGTACTGTATGGATGAGTTGATTCATCTCTTTAATAGTTTCATTAGTTTATATTGGAAATCTGAATATAGTTTTGTGTGGATTCCATAATATATGTTTATGACTTTATATGCCGTGTTGGGCTTTCTTTAGGGATTCTGTTTTTCTCTATTTTTATTTATTTTGTTATAATTATTTCTTTGCCAAAACTTTCATAAAGTTAACTGAAATATTCGTTTTTATAGAAATCAAATTAATAAATAAATGCATATACAAATTACGAAATTTATTTGCAAGAAGTAAAACGAATAGTTACATAAAGTGCATTTGAAAAGATAAATAAAAAAACAAAACAAGTCAAACAAGAACTGTTTCTTCCATCTTGTGTTTGTCAAACATAATGTCGTCATCAGATCCTGACACCTGTCTGGTCCCTGATAATCGGTTTTTATTATAAACTTGACTATAACAGTATGTTTTGTTATCAAGAGAATTGTCCTCATTTAGAGAGGAGTTATCATCTGCAACACTACTCTTCCCATTAGATCTATAGGTTTCTAAAAGAATTGTTTCTTGGTCTGTCATCTTTCTGTTCGCCAACGGTAAACCTGATGGCCGACGCCGGAAATGACAGACTGAAGGATTTTGTGTCCGGGGAGATGAAACAACGTCATGGGCCACGCATTTTTCTGTCTTTTCTGCTTCGTCATTTTTTAATGTATTATTTGACGTGGGTAATGTATTTTGTCCGTTCTGTTGAGTTGTATCGTCGTGCTTTAAATTAGATTTAACCAAATACCGGTAACCACGTTTTGTCACTATGACGTATTTAGCGGATGTGACGTCAACATTTGTTTGTTCCGACTGACGATGTGATGTACGGAAGTTGAAATTGTGACGTTTTATTCGGCATTTGCAAAACCATTTGTACAAGTAACCTATACATGGGATACGCCTGGAATTAACAAAAATATAGATGAACATATAAAATACATTCCTTGAAAAAAGAAAGAGCGTTCTTATCAATATAAGAAAGAAATATGGAGCTCAATATATTTCAAATCTTTAATGAAACTTTTTATTATTTTATAGCAAACGAGAACATCTTGGATAAAAGAATGACTTATGTCTCATTATGAACATCAAGTTCGTCCATTAAAATTCTTTTTACAATATTTTGGATATAAATAAATATATCTTGATAACCAACGATATAGATAACACACCGTGTCACTAAATTTTTAAAATTACCTCAGATTTTGACAAATACTGGTACCAAACACCCCGTATATAATGGGATTAGCCGCTGAATTTATAGGAGCAAGACTTTGGACCAATGACGTCACTGCGTATTGTGTTGTCGTTTTGGTCTTATTTGAGTACACGTCAATCAAATTGAATACAAAGTAAGGACTCCATGAAAGCACAAACACTGAAAAGAAAATAATAAATGTCTTTAAACGAAATATAAATGTCTTTAAACGAAATAATTATGATATTCAGGTAAATTTAAATCATTAAAAATGATTCAATAAAACAAATATTTTGAATATCATTGAGTAAACAGTAATTATTGAAAATTTACACCAATTATATTATTAAAATAATCACCTTTGATATGATGCTTTATTTGACAAGATATCTATCTAATGATATTAGAATTATTGACCATTTTAAAAATGTTGTATCAATATAAATAGATAAGATGATATATAGTCTAGCACGATACAGATCTGAAGAACAGGTGATCACTCGACTATCACCCACGACACTATTACGTGAAATGCTCGATGTCTTGTCGGACAGTATAATTATCAAATTATAATAATTATCGTAAAGTAATCCTGGCTATAAAAAATATGATAAATGAACATACCACATACAATAATCAAAGTCATCTTAATTGTTTTTATCTTTGCTTGTGGAATGATGCCTTTGTTACCCTCAACTGCCGATTGTGACTCTAATGAAGAGAAACAACATTATTTTAATATGTCTAACGTTGTAATCAAAACAAATGTTTATTTCAATAGGAAAGTCAAATTAAATAAATTAAACATTAAAAATTCTTTCAAAGTGACATGATGCCCATCCAAGGGTATATAGTGAACGAACGGGTGAAAGTCAAAATAAGTTTTAATTTTGCCATAATTCTCTTTACTTTAATTATTAAGTAAACAATGAATATCTCACAGATCCAGACGAAACTTCTGTAAATAGGCATATCCATAAAAATTTACCTAAAGAGTGAGGCAGTCTTTTTAAATTTTAGACAGATTTATCATTTTACCCGAAACATTTTCCAATATCAACTGTTGGTCAATCACCATTTTGACAGTCAATCTTTTGAAATATATATTTAATTCAGCTCAACTTGACCATGAAAATATGAGCATAATGTCACTTTAAATAAATACATATATTTCTCACAGGACGTCACTTGTGTTCAGTAAAACATATCAAATACTTTCTATATCACTCGTTCAATGTTGAAGGACAAATGTCGGTTTATTTTGCTGGATTTAAAGTCACACTGGTGGAGGAATACCTTAGGTGCCTCTCGAGCAGGAAACCTACGCAATGTGCTTTTTGACGCATTTATAAATCCGATTAACTAACTTGATACTGTGCATTTTTTTTGGTCTATCTTTGTATTACAAAAGAATTCTATATACATTATATATAATATATATTATAGACTCGCTAGTAGGTCATTAAAATGTTTCGTTTTTCCGTCGTGATCGTTCATGAATAGACTAAGTAAGACCAGAACTGAAGTTTCCAGCTATTTGTTTTTGTTTGTTTTAGTTTTCTCCCCCTTTAAAAATGTTAACATCAAAGTCACGACAACTGATGTATAACCCTATATATGCTAACATAATTATAATTCTTAAATATTTTCTGTAAAGAGATTAACGCTTACAAGTTATTATTAGTTTAACAATTTTCCTTGAAGACGTAAAATTATAACAAATTATACTCTCAGCAATTAATAAATTACTTTTATTAAAGCAGTAATTAAAATGAAATGTCACATATATGTATAAATTAATTTCTATTTGTTATATTGAAGATATATAAATCACGTTTGTTTTGTTCCCGAAGGGGATAGTAAATTGCCTTTAACACATTAAAATGCTTAATATTTTCTTAGAAATTCGTATGCGTTTGTCAATTTAAAAAGAATATTTTGAATAGTTTTAAATAATGTTACTAAGACAAAGAACAGAAATCAATAACATCAACTACAATATAGACAGCTTAAATATGCATACAGTCAGATAGAGGGAAGGAAAGGAGATGGGTTAAAATGGTATTATTTTGTATTTTTTTTTAGTTATCCTGAACATTAAAAGCAGTCTTACCTTCTTGAATTGTTAACATAAAATTATATGAAATCAGCGTTTATTATTATAAAACAAAGGTAGTGGATAAACACACAATTATTTTCTAACAAAATGCAGAAAACTGAAGAAAGAAACAATTTATTATATCTGTTAGGTAAATGACATATCAGAAATAGTTCTACCGTATCTTAAATAGCTCCTACATTGAACAATTCTACGCAGGTATCCTAATGTACAATACTTTAAACAACAATTCTACTTTAAACAACACAAAAGGCGTGAATTCTAAACATTGAGGCTGTGTTTTTACCTATATCCAGGCCGGTGCATACGTGCATGTGCTCAAGCCTATTGCATGTGACATTATTAAAAGGTGCTAAAATAGAATATATATTAATTTATCCGCCAATATTTCAAAGGTACAAAGAGACAAAACATAAGCTTGAATACTTAGTTTCAAAACAGACCAATGCTTAGATGCAGCAAATAACTTTACACTGTAAAATGTGTATATATTTATGCTCATTGATTAAGATGTGTATGAAGAAAATCAAACTAAATGTTCCATATAACCAAACTGACTGCATAAACGGTACAAAAAGAAAGAAGATATATTTGTGTACAACACTGAAGTGCAAAAACAAAACGTTTAATGTGATAGAATTATGATATCAAACAAATGTATTCCCATTACAAGAACGTAAACATTCAGGTCTGAGCTTAGATATATATTTGTCATAACAATTTACAATAATACTGTTTGAAAGCATATATCAACTTACTTCCACGACATTTAGATCCGTTATAAGAGTTATGAAAGCCACGTCCCTTGTCCCAAATCACGAATAAAATAATGCTGTAGCAGATGACAATGATGAGTGCAGGAATTATGAATGCTGTCAGCGCAACAAGAGTTGTATATAGCTGGAATTAAAAGGTATTAAAAATTTAACAGATATAATTAATAGTTCTATTCTGTAATTAATATCCTTATGGAAAAAACTCAACAACAAATGGTACATGTATATGAACAAATGGAATATCTATGAACATATTGAATGAAAAATTGTAAAGTTAATTTTTCATAAAGAATTAAGATTTTCCGACGTGTTTGTTACTTATGCAGGCACATTTGGCATTTCATAATTTGTGTATTATAACGAAAAAGCCTTTGTATAGTATAAACTTATATATTTGTTACATTGTCATTTTGCAGCCAAATTGCCATATACGTTTTTCTATGAATTCAACACGTTGAAAACAAAACGTGCCAGTTAAAAGGCGCACAAGATCTTTTATGACCAATCACTAAGCACTCTAAATCGTGAACTACATAGGATAATATATATTTTTATGAGAAATGTCTTTCCTTCTACACGCGTTTGTATCTAAACAAAGTAGAATAATTTTGATATTCCTTACAACTGCATACCTCAATTTTGTACAATACTCGCGTACAGAATTGTTTGCAAGGATACAACATTTTTTCTGTATTTTTATTATAAAGTTCTTTTAGTATAATTACGTAACACAAACCTTTCATTTAATTTAAATGCATGTAAATGGTTTTCAAATGATATTCAGATAATTTACAAAATAAAAACAGTGGGAATCTTTAATTGTGAAGCTATCCTTTCATTTATAATGCGTATGTACCAACTCACCTGCCAATGCCATGTTTCATTTAGATTCATCATACAGTATTGTTTTCCGTTCGTATGACTGTATGTGTCAAACAAAAGAAATGAAGGTATAGACAGGATCCCTGATGTAATCCACGCTGCATTTACAAGAACTCTAACTGTTGTTGCTGCAATGAAAACAAGAGGTTAAATTTTATATGTCCTCCTGGACACCATGCCAGCGGTCCTGTGCTGCCGGATGATGTGGGGGCTGCGTTCATTGAACACACACCATTGCGGTATTACTATTCTCTTACACGTTTAGAAGTTCATATTTTATTTTATTATATAATCTATAAAAAGCTTTGAAATGCCTTTCCCTGATTGGCTAACAAGCAACTTTTTGTAAAAAATAACAGGTCAATATCAGAGTATATTCACTGTTTTTTTTCCCTAAAAATAGATTTTCAGAGTATATTCACCGGGTTTTCTTCTAAAAATAGATTTTCTTGAAATCCCTAAAAGACGCGAGACTTTGACGTGACGTCACGCCAAGTTTGTTGTTATTATTCTGAAAAAGCGTTGAGTGGGGTGTACATAAGAGTCAAATTAGTCTATTTTAGTTACCGTTTTACATTTTTAAGAACAATAGGGATTAGCATGCCAATGGAAAGGGCCAAATTATGGAAACAGTAGACAAGCTGAAAAATAATGATTTCCGTCGTACGCAATGGCAGATGTGATAAGGCATATAAAAGCTATTTATAAATTATATAATAAAACAGATATGTACTTTTTAGCTGTTGAATATGATGTGATATGTACTGAAAAATTAATATTGACCTCGGCTATCGCCTCGGTCAATATTAATTTTGTCAGTACATATCACATCATATTCAACAGCTAAAAAGTACATATTTGTATAATATTTTGATATTGGTTACCCTCGCATTTTCTTAACTGTTCCAAACAAATGTTGGCAAATCTATTACATAAAATTCAGAAGGTCATTTATTGATGTAGCTTATATTTCTATTAGCAAATTTGGCTATAGTCTTGCTGAAAAACATCTCGTCATTCTATTAAACTTTTGGCAGGTTAAATTCAATATAAGAAAATTTTACAAGACATGACATGATATCGTGTATAGAGTAGACAATTTACAATTTCTAAAATAAAAGAAAAATCTACACATACATAAACCATTTCTGATTTGTCAAAACAAGAGAAATGTCTTGAATTATAAATCGGTGATATGAAACAACTCTGGGAACACTTAAATGATGTATGAGTCAACTGTTCAGGAAGATATTGTCAAAGTATGAAGAGATAATTCTTCATCAAATATGTTCTGTTTGTTTGCTAGACAATAACATGCTCTGGTGAAACTTAATGGACGAGATATTTCATGTTGTCAAATAGAAATTGCTTTTGTTCAAAGGAAATAAGTCAAAAAGAGTTATCATTTCGATCGCGCAAATCCCACATATAGAGATTCTCACTGATTCGCATTTGTCAACTAATGTTAAAACTGCATGCCTCCAGGTTAGATAAAATATTTAAAAAATAAGAATCAAACTTGACAAAAGATGTACTTAGATTGAAAGTTACTAAAAAGATTCAAGATTCCAGTAATAATTTACCAGTTATATGCGATAAAACATTGAATTTTCAGTAGTTATTACCATAATTCTTCTGCGTGACTGATGCAGTGAGGGCTATATGTTGCATTTTTGAACCTTTTTGGTAACTTAGTGGACTGAAAGTGCTGTAAGTAATATGTAAATTACTTTCTCTATATTAACAATCCATTTTCAACATTTTCGTGAAATAAGCATGAGTCTGGAGACATGCAGCTTTAACGCCTTCATAGTTAAATCGCATTTATGTCTTACGAACACATCTTAATTGCGATGTTGAAAAAATCTTTAAAGATTGCTAATGCTTAATAATAAGTTCATATATGACGGACAATTGTCTCAATACTTCTGTCATTTTCGTCCAAATTGTTCTGTCCTTCAAATATATTTCCAGACAAGAATTAATGAAATCATGCTTCATAGGTGTGACAAAATGAAAATATGTAAGAGCAATTGTCTTACATTTAAAACTTTTATGTTATAAATGATCATAATAACAGAATACAGAATGACTTCAAATATTATTATGTGGAACTAATTGTTTTAGCAATGTTATAAAATGTTGTTTTGATATTTGTGCAAATAGACGAGTTTAAACAATACATCACGGATAACATATCGCAATAATAATGTACAATTTGCCATCTTTGTCGTAAAATAATTGGTCCATGTGTGACTTCACACGGATATATTTTATTTTCTGTCAATTATTGTATTAATTACATGAATGAATAGTTCAAATTGTAATAAAGAATATCATGAATAACTGATCAAAATTAAAAACCATATTCTAACCTCTGTAAATAAATGTTCCACAGTCAAAATAGTGGAATGAATACAATAAATTAACAATGTGCTATTACGGGCAATTGTATGACCTTAATTTCGCTTCTGTTACGTACAGAGACAATACCTTGAATGACTGGTTTTAGACAAACTGCCTTAAGCAAGCACCTCAGATATCCTGTTCTCTTGCAATTTTAACAATGAGTTAATTAATAAAATTCATGTGTGAATACGTGCACATATAACATTATATTCTAATTTTAATCATGGATAAACTTCTATAAAACTTTGGATATATATTTTGCTTGTGAAATAGTACACTTTCCCTTGAAAGTAGCATGGTTGTGCATAATTAACTGTTAATAACATTATAAATAGTTTTTCTTTTTTTGATCTTATTTGTAATGAATTGAACATTTTTATATGTGTGGTCCATATTGTAATGTAATATATGTAATTGTAATTATATCAAAACTGGACACTCTTATATCATAGCAAAGTTTTGCAATACTTGAATTACAACGTTTTGGCAAATTTGTTTTATAATATGTATTTCCTGATATGATGATAAGATGAAAGGAGAATATCGAAAAACAGTTACTCTTCTTCATATAATGGATTTGACCAATCATAACGTGAGAAAATGCAATAAATGTTAAACTGCTTATGACCAAACGTTTTCAAAAGACGAAACATAAGAACAAAATGTGTTAAAATAAGAACATTAATTTTCTTTGTGGAACAGAAATCGTCATAGAAATTGAGTACTTTACAATAATATGAAACAGTCTTGTGTTTTATGCAGTAAACTGAAAAGAATATATTGTTTTGAAACTTTGGACGATTTGTGTTGTTATGAATATTTCCCACTAGTGCGAAGTTGAAAATGGTCGTTTATTCCTTATCGTAATAAATGTGTGGACAGTAGTAAACTTGTATATGTTCGATAATGTTGTTTAAGGGAGAGCAAAATAAGTCAGGGTATAAATAACATTTTTATATTAAAATTATAAGTACCACTGTTTCTTAGCAGTATATCAAAAAAATATTAGGAATTAACTTTTTAAACGTAATATACGTAATATGTTAAAACATAATTACTTAAATCTTTTCAGCATACTAGACAACAAAGCTGTTTATAAATGGATTCCTTGTGTCAAAATACATTTTTGTCTATGCCCAGTTCAAAGCTAATATAATGATCTTAATAGTGTTGTTGAAATATTTAATACATCTGTTGTTTTTTTTAAATAAAAATAAAACATATTATTTGTAATTTATTCATTTTTTTTCTTCCTTAAATCGACATTTATTTCAATCTTGAAATATTTGTAGAGTAATTCATTTTGTATTATTTACATAATGCATTTCATAAATTAAAGTAATGTGACAAGATTGTAACGTTAGGGTTATTGTTACTCTGAATTAAATAAAAACATGACTAAAATTAAAGTGACTTTATGAACATCCATGAAAGTCAAAGTCAAAATAGTTTTAGATTTCACCGTTATTGTTTTCCATTTCAACGTCTAGGCCATGTGTATAAACAATAACCCACGTGACTCAAAGAAAATTTTACAAAAGTCCTTAAATGTACTTTGAATGTTCAGTTGAAAAAAAGAGTTGTTCAGTGTTTTTAGATTGAAGGTAGATGTTGTACCTTTTCCTAAACAGTCTCTAGTGTAATGGTGGATACATACATTTGACAATTCGGGAGTATTTAGTAAAGATAAGTCAATTAAGATAATAACAATAATAACAGGTGCCATTAGTAACGTTAGGTCAAACCTGTGTCCTTATTTATAATAGCAGATGTAAAATTAGACACATTTTTTGTAACGGCCCTTTTTATTGCAGCTATAATCATTTTGCCTATCTAAACATTTGCTGTACATTTGCTTATAAATATTTTAAAAAGATTGTTTACAAACTAAATGGTCGTGTTTCAATTTTTGTTGGCGATATGCACGTAATGACTCGGGATATAAAAGCTTGCAACCGATTTGGCCATAACAGGCTTATAGAAATTCTCTTACAATTTAAGGCAAACAACTGGTGACCGTAAATATTTAAACTCTATTTGATAAGGTTATGATACTGACAATTGTTTCATTATTGTGAAGTACTCAAACTATGATCAAGCTATTCAGAAGTGTTCCTTATCAACAATAATTCTTGTTTATTAATGAATATTTATCTTGAATATAGGTCAGACAAGTACAATTACTGTCAGACCCCATACTGAGGATAGACAAGTAATCCGTTTATCTGGTTGGATGTAAATTATTTTGTTATCGTAATACGAAGGTTAGACGGCCTTATATGTGGCGTGTGAATGTTCTATCAATCTATTTCTCTTTTCATTTCTCTATCAATGTCATTTATGTCAGCGTCTTTGCTATTGACAAAAAAACGTACAACTGATGGGAAAGTATGACCGTGTCTACAAAATAAGTAGACAATGACCAACTGTAAGCCATTAGTGTTTGGGAGGTAATTTTTAAATACAAACCCGCAACATGAATTCGAGGTGAAAGATTTACTGTCAGGTCGTCATTAGACACGTTATTCTAAATATTACAGAAAAGATATCCATGGACAAAAAATGTTCTCTCCATTCCCAAAACATAATTATTTTATTGAACAAAAAATGTCAATTTCTGTTTTAAATAATAAAATTTGGTAACTAGATATTTACTTATTACTGATTTTTTTTTAATTTCACATTTGAGAAAAAATTAAATAAAGACATAATATCTTCAGTTTTTTTGGTCGGTAGATATCTGTTATTTATACTATTGTATCATGTTGTTTTTACAATGACCTTTGGATGTGTAAACTTAAAATGTCTTTGTGTATCAATTATTTTTGTCTGGTTTCCTAAAAGAACGACTTTTTTATTTTTGTAGTTTATATAGAAATAGAATATATATCAAAGACAAACAACTTTATAGAATCACCCTGAAACATTTAAAAAAAATAATAAAAATGATTACTGCCTGTATAAATCATACTTTTACTTTGACATGAATTATAGCGGCTGAAACTTTAATTTTTAACCCTCCATCAGCTGAAATTAAAAGCGAGTAGTCCTTCGTCGCCAGTTTTAAGCTCCAGCATTGACTTCACTTCCTTATGTTCTTACTGAAATCCCTTAAACTTCTATTAGACTGTTACAAATTCAATACTTTGCACAAATCTTGCAGATTAAATATCAAAAAAGGCACAAGAGACAGAATATATACAGAAGGAAAAGCAAACTAGCGTTTTACGATGATCTTAAAGCTTACCTTTTCTGGTAAAGTTCATTGGCCTTGCGATAGCGTCCACCCTGTCAATACTTAAGGACACTATCATGAACGTTGATGCGTACACAACCAATGCCTAGAAATGTGAACATCACAAAGTGAGCCACGCCATGACATAACCAACATAATAGGTTTGCGACCAGCATGGATCCAGACCAGCCTGCGCATTCGCGCAGTGTGATCAGGATCCATGCTGTTCGCTATCAGTATGGATCCTGATCAGACTGCGCGGATGCGCAGGCTTGTCCTGATCCATGCTGATCGCAAACCCATTATGTTGGTTTTATCATGGCTTGGCTCAATTATTCACAATGCTCTTATATTTGAAGAATGACATTTCAGATGTACAGTGTAGTATAACGAGGCCAATGTGTTGTTTTAGTAACAACGGCTATATTTTAATTATCTACTTCATGTTAACAAAATAATTATTTGAGAATTAACTTTTAAAATTCTGATTAAGAATTATTGAAATAATAATAAAACCCTTATCAAAATACATTATATATTAAAAAATGAAATTATTATATTTGAAGAATTCTTATTGTTCAACAGAAATGAAAGTTATAAAAATTCACCAGCATTGTATTATGTAGTGATAACAAAATAGAAAAAATATATATAAAAGAAAATACATTAAGTAACATATAGAGGAGGTTAAATGACTTGTATTTTGTTTTTTGGTTTTTTTCGTTATATCCACATGAAAAACAGCTAATCCTCGTTTAGATCTATAAAAAGCATACCATTATATTTTGGAAGAAAATGAACTATATGTGATGTCAGAAACATTCACCGACAACACTAAAACAGTTCAACAAGGTAGTTAATTTTAAAGTAGTGTCACTTTTCAGATTTATAATAAAAAATGCAGATGACAGAGAATTTTTCTGTCGCGATTTTAAATTGAGTATCAGGAAACATGTGGTGTTTATCACTTAAGATATGACAAAAACAAAACCTAGCCTATCCTGCAAAGTTATTTTAAATGTTTTAAAAGTAACAAGATTAAATAAGATGTTTGGCATATTTTAAACTGTTTACAGCTTTATCGTTAATTTAGCTAGACTGTCATATAATATTTGTGAGTAGATTGGTCTACAATAGGCAAAAGTATTTAAAAAGTGAGAAAAAAGCAATATGAAAGTATTAATTAATATTATTAAAACATCTTTAAAAATCGATCATTCTATAATGTTTTTTTTATTTTTATTACTTTTTAAGTCTGATATATCTATAAATATTCCTAGTATTTATCATTCGTTTTTCACAGTATACTATTATAAATTATTATCTATGGTGTAAAGGACTGTTCGTATGCGAATTAATGTATTTCAATACATTCATGAACTGGAATTATGATTCAATGCATCTTTTAGAAAATAAACCGTCTCGTGTATTTTCTTATGGTTTGAGGGCAGACGTTGATTATCAATAAGATATACTGATAACCTTTAACCTATTTTAGTTATAAATATGCAAACAGTTGCAAGGTATAATAAAATCATATTTTAGGATACTAGGATCTGTGAAAAATGACAAAAACTTTTAAGATTGCTAGCATACATAATTACTACGGTTGATAGCATCTTATTTGAAGAAGAAGACTAGCAGATTTTTTAAGACTTTGCAAAATTGTTTTATTTTCATATTCATATTCAACCTATCCTGAAATAAGTTTTACCAAGTTATATGTTATATTGGTTCCTATAAACCTAGTTCTGATATTGGTTCCTATAGACCTAGTTATTATATTGATTCCTAAAGACCTAGCTCTGATATTGGTTTCTATAAACCTAGTTCTGATATTGGTTCCTATAAACCTAGTTCTTATATTGGTTCCTAAAGACATAGTTCTTAACCATATTGGGTTCGACACACATCTTAAAATTCATTGTATTTAAGCCTGTGCTCTGGATAGTGTTTGTAGTTTTACTTCGTTAAAAGCAAATTAATTGCAAATAAAAATAAAATAAATTGTTAAAATAGTACATTTGTATATAGTTATTATAGATATTACCTGAAGGAACCTAACTATTTTACAAAGCACCGACCCTCCATACCATACTTCAAGGCATCGTTCTACAAAGTCCACGATTACGTGAAATATACCAACTGTTAAATCTAAAAAAATAAAAACAACAACGCATAATTATATAGCATTATGCAGTTACAAATATAGTTTAATCTTTAAACTGAAACTAAAAGTCAAAACAGTATCAATGTTTGTTCAACGTTCTTAAAGTTTACACTAAGATAAAGATAATCTTATCAGAAATTAACATACTCAAATCACCTTTTGACACGTAATAATGTCTTTTCGTTTCAAAAATGAATTGATATACAAAACAACTCTCCATCCTTATTCTAATGAATTGTGTTTACGTCCAACATAACATTAGTTCACAGCTTTGGTGTTCTTTATATCAGCTTGTTTAACATTTTAAATTTCAAAAGCTCAGCGGAACTGTGAACACGTAAAATGCGTTCCAGAATAAAAAAGGAAATTCCAGATGTCCTTTTTCCGGGGGTCGACCTAAAACCACTTTTTCGACAACAAATTTACATGCTCAGAAAATGATAGGGCTCGCTGACTTAGAGGAATAATTCCCCTATCTTTTAAACCTCATACGAAACGATTGGTACCTGTCCGTTCTGTGGATAATATTCCATTACCTTTTATACGAGTTTATTTTCTGACGATATGTTGGAAAATCGTTCTTTCGGGGCTATTTGATGAATACATATAGAAGAAGATTAGCTTGCTTTTAAATGGGTCAATATTATTGTTATTTGTGCGGATTACAAAAAGCCGTTTTAATTAATTGTAGAAGGCCAATGCATTTTTTAAATATAAAAAAGGAAGGTTAAATAATAACGGAAATATCTGTTAATTTTCGATACATGTTTTCATACTTTTATTTGAGAATATAAAGAAGAAACACAAAAAATACACCCAATAATAATTACATTCAATAAATAATATAATAATGGTTTATATAAAACTGTTGACATTTATCTGTAAACTATTTCAACTTATTTTTTTGCTACAACATAAATATGTTTATCAAACAACTGTACACGTATTATCATTTAAGTAAATTGAAAACATAACAAATTGATAGGCATGCTGATCTTTAGTTTTTTATTCTTATGTAGTTGTAGTTTTTATTCCTATACTATACATGTAGTGTAAAGTATATGTTTCATTAGTTATACACTTATGAAAAAATATTCAGATGTATTCATCAATGAAATGCGTATTTTTAATTTTCCATATATTTCTCTGTATAAGATTACATTTACTGCTGTGTATTATATTCTCCGTACTTTTCATTCGAGTCGTAACTTCTTTCATTTATAACATATTAAAATAAATAAAAATGGGACTGTAATATCTGTAACAATTTTAAATAAAGTAAACGCATTTAATAAACAAAAACATATATTATTTTGTCCAAAATAACGGGATTTAATTTCATGATTATCCAATTAATTATATCTTATCCGTGTTTATAACAAATTGTATAATAATCATTTTCATACCACTCGATGAAATTAATCAATGTAATTATATAAAAAAGTCCTTGATATCATCTTTTCATTATATTATTAAATATCCTTAATATAAGTTCGGAAATATTGAGAAATATTGATAACATGAAAGTGAGTAGTTTGTTTCAATATTTTCTGTTTCAACATATTTCCGTATTTTCACTGGTGTCTTGCCGGACTACATTCTTCTAAATCAGCCAAATAACGAAATTAGAAGTATTTCAAATTTAAATGTCGAACAAACGGAATAAACAGAAAATTCAACTTTTTTTTTCTATACCTACGGAATTAATTAATTTTTTCACACACTGTGGCATGAAAGTTCGAATATTTAAATATTCGCGCGAAATATTTATTTTCAATACTAGTTTCAATTGATAAAACACAAATCCTGATTTTATTGAAAAGAACTTTAACAGATCGCCTATTTATCATCTTTCTATCTTCTTCATTTTGCGTCTTTAAAAAAATAAATATGAAATTTGGTCGTCATTTTTTGTTATATAAAGTAAACGATACATGTATAATGCTAATTGTTCAAGATATGTTTGTTAATTGATAAAAAAGAAGAAAAAAACCCAACAACAACAAAACTAAAATAAGCAAAACATGATAAAATAAAGTTTGACATGATCCGATAAAATTTTTCATTCACGTATAGAGTGAATATTTGTTGGTTGCTTGTTGCTGGGTCGGATGGGGGCCCTGCGTTCATTGGAATGCCGCCTTGTCCTTGTCGAATCTTGTTTATCATTTTTTCTAAATAAGTTGTTTCTTTTGACATTGCCCTTTATCTGAAAACAAATATTGAAACAATATTGAAATTGCTTATAATGGCAATTAGTAAAACCGTTATCATTTTACTTTATTGATCACAAGCATTTAAATGAAATAAAACAGAATAAGTTTGGAATTAATTTAAACCCCTTATGCCAATATTGTAAAACCATATTCTTTATTTATGAAAGCGTAAAATTTTTTAAAAATGTAATAAGATAAATAAAAATAACTCTCACCGATGATTTAAAATAGCTCATTTGTTTCAATTTATTAGATAATATACAAGGATTGCATATCTTCTCACATTGTTTTCTCTGTATACATACTTGGCCTTTGCTTAAAGTAATTTTTATATATCTTTTCTGCAATATAATGAATGGACTAAAGCAACAGATATTGCAACCCGCTGTAATAGCAGAGTATAAAGATGTTATACAATCAAAAGCAATAAGGAAATAGCCCCGCCTATTTATAATCAAAGGCATGAATCTATCCAGCTGATAAACCAGTTAGATCGATTACAGCTGGAGATAAAGGATGGGCTCAGACCACATGCCGTCAACGGCGAAAGTATTTACAATTAATGCGGCTACTCGAAGTTTGTTTTACACGTGTCTGGCATTTGTATCAATTTCAACATGGCATATAAAGATACGAGTTACAGCGTTTTTTTTGATTTATTATTATTCACGATGTCCTTTTATAAATGCAAGAAAAAAAACGCATTTAGATATTTAGATATTTTTCTATTCTAATATCGTTTGAATTGTTTCACTTCATATTTTTTATCTTTTTTTGCATCTATTGGTATTAAATCGATTTTCTTACATGTAGCAAAATGATAACGATATGGGTTACTAAATCATGTGTGTGTTTTTTTTGTAAAGAAACGATACCGATTTCTGCTCATTTTTTTATTTCTTCCTTCAAATGAAAGTCACTTTCTTTGTGTTATTGGGTCTCACTATATCGATAATCGACAGAGGAAGTGATGTACAATGCAATATGTATAGACGGAACAATATATTTCATAAGAAGTCAACTTATTAGCCCGTCAGCCCTTAACAGATTTTCACATTATATTCTTAATCTATAACAATTACTAATACAAATAAACAATCATTACGTGGAAAAGATAATATTTTTCCACATGGGACTGAAAAAAAAAACTGAAATAAATACCTTGATTTGCATTTAAAACATTTAAAATTTCTTGAATTTTAAAATGGCCCCCTCCCTTTTTGATTTTTAAAAAAAAAAAACACTCTTTCACATTCTAAAAAATGGGACATTGTGTATTGGGTGAAATCTACTCTTCCATGACGGTGAGAAAAAGAATAAAACCGGGGATTAATTCGTTTTTCCCGATAAGTAATTTTACATTACGCCGAAAGTCAAAAAACTGGGAGGGGTCACAGAGATAAACCAAAAAGCTGTCGTTATTCGATTCCCCGCTAAAAAAGCCTGCGAAAATCCCACAAGTACTTGGGTAAGACAAAAGGTACAGAAGTAATTATTTTTGATTACAAAAAATTCCCAATTCTCTGTCAAAAATTTTAAGTTTTATTTGAATTTTATTAAATATAAGTAACCCCAAAAATACCCGACAATTTTTTTGGAAAGCATTTTCGAATAAGTTTGTTTTTTTTTGCAAAAAAGTTTTTAAATTTCAACATATGGAGATAATAAGTACGAAATATTTATTCTGGCCCTTTACACAATGCATTGTAAAGATGAAAAAGTGTTTAAACAAAGCCACGTTTAAATTTCTATTCTTTTTTTATTCATAAATCACATTATATATTAAAAGGTCCCAGAATATCCAGACGATAGGGACAATTTTTCGTTTATAACGAATAGTGTCAATAAAGACGCAGTCGTAAAAATGAAAACATAATGGGTAAATACAATAAAAAAATGAGTGAAATTATATAACCTGAAATACTTTGCTATTAAAGTTTTAAAATATTTAATAATAAACTAAAATTAAATATTCAAACAGATCAGCTTAATACGAAACTTATACCAATAACAACATGTCTGATGTATGTCGACGTTTACTTTTAAAGAGAATAAAATTGTATTTTTGTCGTGAATCATGTCAAATGTATGTTAAACAATACATAATCACATAAAAATAAAATGTAGAAAGGGCATGCACTCTTCTTAATCAATTTTAACAATTTCTGAATAAATTAATGTATTATCTAACCGAATTTTGCACATAAAAAAACTCGAAAAAAATATTTTTTTTATTTATTTGTGTCACATATATGATTTTACTGTTTTTATTGTGCTACTTCAATTTCAAAATCAAACGATCATAACATAATCATATATATGTTCTACATATAGTATCCCTTTGAATTTGTAAATTGTAAAGATATTTGGGGGGGGAGTTTTAGAATTTCCTTGAAGTCAACAAGAAATAACACGATAATGGCAAAACGTTTCATGCGTTCATTAATACGTGAATGCAGATATTGATTTTTTTCCTTTTTTTTAAAAAACCGTTAT